ATGAATTTCAAAGGAACATGTTAACTATTGATAAATATGCATGAGTATGTTATTATTATAGATATTCCAAAAAAGGGTAAACTACAAGTTTAGTAACTTAACTATAACTTTTGTTTCATTTTGGTCATCGAATTATTTTTCTCCTAAAAATTTAAAGTTTAATTTTGATTTCATTTTGATCACCCATTGTTAAGAAAATTAGAGATGATACTGACATCGTAACATAATGTCAGTGTGATTTAAAAAATATAGTTGATTGATCAAAATGGAACAAAAGTTATAGTTGGGTTGTAGTTTACCCAAAAAAAATATCCACAATTAATAAAAACCAATTAAAATTACTGAAACTATACCTGTCTGAACAAACTATGTATTGTAAAGCAATCAAGTACAACAAAAACTATCAAAACTGTGAAATTGAACATTACAAAAGGATGATGAAACACCCAAAAGAATCATGAAAAACGACCAGAGATCAATCGAACGAAGGATATCCGGGGAGACAGCATTTTCTTCAACTTGTCGATTCTCGAGGAAGGTCAAGGATCATAAGATAGTGAGGAAAGTCTTGTACCTAATGAGATGACAGATCAAGTACAGCAGCCGTCTTTCTTGACGGCTGAAACGTCATCCCTCAATCCGCCAACATTGATGGTTTGTCCCTTCTGCAATACTCTACGATCATCCCCTCCTTGGAGTGCTTTTCGACTGACCACACAATATATTTGAGTTAGAACTTCAGTGAATGCATCCTCAACGTTCGTAGATTCAAGGGCAGATGTCTCCATAAAGAAGGTGTGTTCTCTCTCGGCAAAGTCCTTAGCATCATCAGTGGAAACAGCAAACAAGTGTCGCAGGTCCGCCTTGTTACCAACGAGCATAATCACGATACTAGAATCTGTGTGATCTCGTAGTTCCTTCAGCCATCTTTGGACATTCTCAAACGTGACACGTCGAGTAACATCATAGACGAGCAATGCACCAACAGCTCCTCGGTAATATGCACTTGTAATCGCCCGATACCTAGAAAAGAATACAGAAACAAATCAAATCATGACAAACACATCCATTTCACGCTCTACATGTCCTCAACACAGATATCCTTTTACCCACAGAAACATCATGTATATATGCATAGATGGCTCGATTTCAAAGTATCCGATTATACGACACCAGCCTTCTTCAAGCCTCATGCATGATAGACATGTCATACAAGTCCAGGCATTTAAGGTTACGTACATCTAAAAACGTCTGAAATTTCCGAATAACATAAAGAACTTTAAAATTAGAAAGAAACGAAAAATACAAAGATCCATTTTTGTAAAAAGAAAACTATGATTCAAGTATGACTTTTAAGAAAAGTAAGGTTATTCCACCTTTTCACTAATGGATCAAAGCTGCAGCATTTATATGATGTTCTTTGTACTCCATCCGTTAGTAAAAATCAAGTTTGCATTAGCCAACCAAGAAAAATTTCTTTCAAATATACTTTAAACCTTCAATCAATACACCAATAGAAGAAAAACCGCATGTTTTTCACCAAAAATCGAAGTCCAATCGGCATGCATTATAATTAAAGAGAGAGAAAAAAAGAAAATTCTGATTGCAACTTATTCCCACATTTTCTTAGCTACCAAACAACCCAACAAAGAAAAAAATCGCATGTACCCTTTCATCAAACCGATACACTAAGCTAGAACCGCCAACTTTCCTCCCATACATCAAATTTTCAATTAAAAAAAAACCTTATAAGTATAATTCTCCCACATTTTACTCAGCAATAGCCTAAAAAAATAAAAAAAAATCCAAGCATTATAGCAATTCAATGCAGTTGTATCAACAAAGAAAACTCCTCATTTTCCTCAAATCTCTCAAATTTGTAACCAAAACAAAGCAAATGAGAAATAGGAGTAATGATAAAAAAGAGTTTAAAAAACGTACCTTTCTTGTCCAGCGGTGTCCCAAATCTGGGCCTTAACGATTTTATCTTCGAACCGAATACTTCGGGTGGCAAATTCGACTCCGATTGTGGATTTTGATTCAAGGCTAAATTCGTTTCTAGTGAACCTCGACAACAAATTCGATTTCCCGACACCCGAATCTCCGATCAACACCACCTTAAACAAATAATCGTAGTCGTCATCCGCTCTATACGCTGCCATTTCGGTTTACCGGGTCGGATTTTTACTTAAAAAAAAAATTATGAATGAGGAAAATTTTATCAAATGGATGATATTAGTAGCATTAGAGACAAATTTTTATTTTACCTTTTAAATGGTGTTTAGATAAAATGAAGCTGTAAACGATGTAGTTTGGGAAAAAAAACTACAATTATTTTAATTTTTAAAAAATTCAATCCAAACCTAAATAGAATAGTAAAGTAATTAAACCAAATTCAATTCTAATTATTTAAATCAAAAGTAAACTATACATGTATTATTTTGTTGAATACTTCGACTATTAAAAATTATAAAATAATCTTTAATTATAGCATGGTATTTTGTTAAGTATCCCAATTATAAAATAATCTTTAATTAACAAATTAATGTATGTCTAAGCTAGAAATTAATATGCTAATTAGGATCATATTTTAATGATGTCTATTATCATCGTCCTTGCTTTTAAACAACAGTTTGACGACATAATGTTTCAAGCACGGGCTTGACGACATAATGTTTCAAGCACGGGCTTGACGACATAATGTTTCAAGCACGGGCTTAACGACATAATGTTTCAAGCACGAGCTTGATGACATAATATAAACTAAGAATTAATCCACAAAATACAATTATGATATCATATTTTATTATATATCAATCAACATATTTACGTATAACTCAGAAAACCATCAAATTTTTAATGAAAAAAGACATGTTTAGACCATATGAATAGTCGGGCGATTATTTTGTAACTTTAAGTAGTCGGGGGACTCAACAAAACAACACTTAAAAGACCATTTTGTAACTTTTAATAGTGGACAGACTCAATAAAATAATATACTATAATCGATGGATCATTTATGTACTTTACCGTTAAATCAATTCCGTTCATAAGTTTTAAATTTTTATATTAATTTTAAAAAATATTAAACTCGATTGGAAAAAACACAATTTAAATTGATTCGAATAATAATTTTATAAATTCGAGTTGATTTTTTTAATTTAAGATTAATAAATTAATGTATCAATCTAAGATTAATCTGTGTTTTAGCTTTAAGCAATCTCAGAACCGAAACCACGGACAAAAATAGGTTAAATCTACGTTTTAGCTCTAGGGAGTCTCAGTCCAAATTGATAGATTTTATTAACAAAAAGTATTTAATTTCTTAAATTATTTAAAATTAGAACCAAATTGAATAAATATTAAGTACTAAAATTGTCTACTTCAATTTTTTTTTTAATTTCTGCTCAGGTAATCTAAACTTGTACTATATGAATTTCACTTCAATTTTTTTTAAATGTACAATTATTCGAACCTTCATTTTTCTTGCAATTTCAGATTTAGTACGATGAAATCTCCACATGTAATTTTAAGAATTCGAAAAGATCCCTCTCATGGTGGTGTTGTACATGAGTGTAAACCTGTACAACATAATGGCATTCTTCACCATACAAATGGGCTGCACAAGCTGCTTCGTAAGTTGAAAGCTCCAACAACCCTGTTCCAGAACAACACAAACATCGAATTTATCAATCTCAGTAATGCGTAATGTCAAGCAGATGGAATGCGCGACAAAACAATAATGTCAAGCAGTTATCTCAATCACATGGGATTGGAATTCGTATGTGATCTCAGGTAAATAGTAAAGCATTATGGTATGGTATGGTATGGCTCAACATTGTTCCATGATGGCAAATAGGTTGTACCTGACGTGATTTCGGATGCGAGTATCTGCTTGCCAAAGTGATGTTTTAACCACCACCTGGAGCGTAATCTCCAAGCTTTTCTCGCGTTTACCTCTGTAAATATTTTTGGCATCCTTTTGTAATAAATAGAGTGATTTGCATGGTTTTCAAAACCGGATCGGTTAGCGAACCGGTCATGTTATCGGTTCACTGATTCAACCGGTCGAACTGGTTCGACCGGTCGGAAGAACCGGACGATGTCATAATTATTTAAAAAATTAAATAAAAATACTAAAAATATTTAATAAAAAATAATTTTTTATATCACAAGTTATATTCAAAGCAAGTCATAACATATATAAATTAAAAACCATAAAATCAAGTGAAACAAAATGATTCAAATTAACTACAACATAATATTCAAGGTAAAACATATTAAATAATAAATATAATTATATAACTATAATTAAAAAATAAATTTGGGGCTAAAAAAATCATAACAAAATGATATTGTTTGGTTTAATTTTTTTTAAAAATAATCTCACATGGCTAAGAAACATAGAAGAGCATGACAAAAGTCTAAAGAATAAAAATATGAGAACAAAACAATCCCACATTGCTAAGAAATATATAAGAGCATCACACTTAACTTCTATAAATAATAGAGGTAATTTGGCATTCAAAATCATGGAGCATTTTGGTGAACATTGAGTGAACTATTCTTTCACTTCAATCAAGCTCGAATTTTAGGCTTCAATTGAGCTTCTAAATTTTTTTTATTTCAAGCATTTTTGAGTTCAAGTTTCAATATTATATTTCGAGTTCGAGTTGAACTTGATAATTTTTAACTTGTGAGTTTGAGTGGAGTTGAGCTTACTTTTAAAGTTTTCAAGTTCGAGTCGAGCTCAGCAATACTTGAGTTCGACTTGGCTCGTTTAACAAACGATGTTTGGTTTAATTTTTTTTTTTAAAAAACAAAATTTCCGGTTTTTCCGGTTTTCAGCCGGTTCGGTTCGAACGGTTCAGCGGTTCTGGCTGGTTCACTAATAGCGGTTCAACCGGTTTAGATTAAACTGGACTAGGCAACGGTTTCCGGTTGAACCGGCCGGTCCGGTTTTCAAAACAGAGGTGATTTGCTTTTCGTTTACCTTCGTCTCTATCGAGACATATGGACAGTCGATCCTCTTCGTATTGATATAGTTTGAGGAATCATGAAGCAAACTCCCTCCATGTATCGGACTCATGAAATGTATCTTCCACATGCAAAGCTATCATCTCCACTAGGGAATCCAGACTATAATCACCTGAAAAGATCATTGAAATCAAACTTATATATGCATGAACATCTACGATCAAGCAATAAGGCAGTGGAAGCGGAACAAAAGATGGCGATGAGAAAATTGATAGGGCATGGATGGTAACCATGCGTCATGATAAGAATGGTCACATAGAAACAACTGCTAAATGAAGTGAACACCGGTCTATCTATGCAAGATAATCGATAATATACCCTTTTGATGCATGCTGACAAGCCTTCCCAATGTGTGGCAGCATGCCGGATCCTTCTTCAAAATCTCCTCGAAACAAGTAGAGAGCATGACAGAGTCATTAGAATAGTAGTATTCTAAAAGACTAGCCCTCAATCTGCAGAAAATCAACACATCAGTGTTATGAAAAGCCAGCAAGAGAATCAAAGGAAATATTATCAGGCATCGTGCATGCTAAATTAAATCTTCACCATGAAATTTAGAAAGTATTCCAAAAATTAAAGATTCCTGGTAGAGCAAATGGAACGAACACATTCAGATATGATACAATCTCTAAACAATCGTCATCAGCAGAATTAACGGTCACAACAAATACCTGAATCATAATCATTAGGTAAGTCCTCAAGCCACTACTTGTTCATATTTTACTTTTTCTGTTTTTCTCAAGTTAACTGAATTAAGCCAAAATCAAATATGGTATCTTCGGAATTATATTTTCCATTTTAATTCTCTTCTCAGCAGACGGGAAGATGGGAAAAAACAGGAAATGGGATTTATTTGGGAGATTAGTACCTAAACGGAAAAACTGTGTTCGAAATGTTACAGAACTTTTTTACTTCACTTAGAGCCTCATTTACTTGACCTCCAATCAACAATAACTGTAAAAAAAAAAAAAGACAAAAAAGAAAAAAGAAACAGAAAAGTTTGAATATATAATGAATAACTTTGCATAAAGGTAATATGATTCTCTAATACACATATGGTTCCTGTTTATTTTTTTAATTGATTACATATGATCTTTATAAGAATAGTAGATGGCCCAGCTTATGTTGAAGATGTTCGGAATAAATCAACAAGAAAAAAAATGCAAGACAAAATTTACCTGTACCAAAGGAAGTAAGGTAGCTGACAAAGGGGGTTCACAATTCAGAGCAAGCCGAAGATACTTCACAGCATCATTATAATGATTATTAAGTATTTGCCTGTGCAAATAAACAAAGTTCTCACTAGAATACGGCAACTTTGAGGGCATCAACCATGACTCTAGACCCTCTGAAACAAGAAATATGATACACTTCAGTATGATGTTGGTGTTAGATAGAACAATGAAACAAAATCAATAATCAAAGCCAAAAGATTTGTGATGGATAATTTGCAAGAAGATCACAAAATGCATCGTAAACAAACTTCATAACTGCAAAGATGTTATTTGGCCCGTCAAATAATTAAGTCATCTGGCATTTGTCGCATGTACAATTAAATTGGAGTGCTCTATTAGAGTATACCAGGAAAATGTTAGACAAAATGGTTAATCCGAGATAATAATAATAATAATAAACATTATCATTATATAATCAAACGAAACAAAATAATTATAAAGAATTAAAATAGAAGAATGAAACTTGTTACCAATGCTTTTAAAACCGGACTGGACATTGAACTGGTGAAGGTACTAGTTCACTGGTTCATTGGTTCAACCGGGTTCAACCGGATTTTATATAAAATAATATTTTTTTTAATTTTACATAATATTCAAAGCAATATTAATATATATGTAACACTTTTTTTAAGTTTACAATATTAAAAGGTATAAAAATATCACAAGTCATAACATATATAAATTAAAAACCATAAAATCAAGTGAAACAAAATGATTCAAATCAACTACAAAATAATATTTAAGGTAAAACATTTTAAATAATAAATATAATTATATAAATATAATAAAAAAAATAAAATTGGGGCTTAAAAAAATCATAACAAATGATGTCATTTGGTTTAATTTTTTTTTAAAAAAATCCCACATGGCTAAGAAACATAGAAGAGCATCCCAAAAGTTTAAAGAGTAAAAATATGAGAACAAAATAATCCCACATGGCTAAGAAACATAGAAGAGCATCCCAACTTACTTCTATAAATAATAGAGGTAATTTGACATTCAAAATAATGGAGTCTTTTGGTGAGCACATAGCGAACTATTCTTTTGCTTCAATTGAGCTCAAATTTTAGGCTTCAATCAAACTTCTAAATTTTTTTTTGAGTTCGAGCCTTTTCGAGTTCAAGTTTTAATATTATATTTCGAGTTCGAGTTGAACTTGATAATTTTTAGCTCGTGAGTTTTTGAGTCAAGTTGAGCTTACTTTTAAAGTTTTCGAGTTCGAGTTGAGCTCAGCAATACTCGAATTTGACTTGGCTCGTTGAAAAAACGACGTCGTTTGGTTTATTTTTTTTAAAGAAAAAAAGTGAATCGACGGTTCAAACAGGTTTTGCCGATTTTCAGTCGGTTCACCCCGGTTTTACCGGTTTTCAGCCGGTTCATTGCTAGACCGATTTTGTGAAGTAACCGGACCGGACAGACCACCGGTTCACAGTTCAACCGGTTGAATCGGTCGGTCCAGTTTTGATAACCATGCTTGTTACACATGTGTAGACACATAATCAGATGAGCAGAGTAAGATAAACCGAAGAATGATTTTTGTTGAGGCCTGTATGAACATTTTCCTTAAGACAGATTCGTCGTCTCCTAGGTGCTTTGAGTAACGTTGGACATCGGTCTCCCAGGATACAACAACAAACAATCACAACAGTAAGCATAACCGTAGTGATCAGTCAAACACAATCTTGTCTTTCTCTATCATCGGAAAGAACAATTTGAAAGGAATTTCTAAGAGTTTTCCTATTCCAATGTTTGGGAATTGTTTCTAAGATTGAGCCTTAACTAACATATTTATAGAGGAGAGGAAATTAATCATAAGGTTATGACCTTTTGATGAAGAGATTTGTTGAAAAGCTAATAGGTATAATTGAATGGATGCAACTTTATACCAAATAATAAGTCTGTTAAATAATAAGTCTGTTCACCAAGTGACATAACTTATTATTGAAAGACATCAATTTTATTCAATTATTTATTAATTTTTCGAACAATCCCTCATGAATGAAATTGATGATTTCAAACACTTATTCGATATGGTGATATATTCTACGTTCGATATTTGCATAGGATAGGTACACATCCCCCTTTGAACCTTCCCTTGTGAAAATATGTTTACCTTACTGGCTGTCCAGTAGACGTGATGTCCTTGAACTGTCCTGCCGTTGGTGTAAGCGATGACATACCTCACACAAATATCTCACTGACAAGAATTTGGTTCTCATGGTTATGTCCATATAGCCACGGACATCTCATGGTTCTGCAAGAGCTTAGAGAACTTTTCCCAAAATTCTCTTTGAAGCGGCTCCACTTCACTCTCACATAGGTGGCTTATGTTGTTCGGCTCACCAAAACACATAGTAGTCATTAAAAGCATTGCTTAACCTTTTCCACATTTTAGTCAATGTTTTCATCATATGAATGAACTTGGGGATAAGAACCCCCACAGTGACCTCACGAGGTCTATGTAAGTAGGTTGTCCCATTGAACTTAGATCTTGGGGATCTCCAGTCAACTAAGTTGGGTTTTCCTTCACATAACGCCTTAAATATTGATGGGCTTTAGTCATATTCCTTTCGATGTTTATCAACTTGATCTCGATTCAACTCATTGTTTAGTGGATCCACAATGTTGTCTTTTGATCTTACAAAATCAATATAAATAACTCTAGTTGAGATCAATTGTTTAATGATATTATGTCGACGACGTATGTGTCTCGACTTACCATTATATTTATACAAGGCACCCCCACACTTTGATGTAGTTGTAGGAACGTTTTCTACATTTCCATAACTCATATGATGCCTCACCTATTTTCTTGTAAGTTACCTTATTTGCTAATAAAATAGCTTCCTGCACATGTTCTGTGACAACTCAGAACATGGTCAAATGTCATTCATAATTCTTTAGCAATCTTATGGATACTATACACTTCATATGGTGTATCTGACAATTCATTCATGATGTAATTCCGATATAGAAACTTAGAATGCTTTCAAACTTTAATGACAATAATGTCTATCTCATCCTCTCTATGAATAGGAGGATCATCCTATATTTGACAATATTCAACATGATTAAATATAACATCTTCTGTCGATATGTCTTGAAATTCTATCCATGAATTTCACATGCTTCTCGTTGTGGCTCACAACCACTGACATCGTTGAATTTTATTCAAGGTCTGAATATGAATCAATATTTCAAATCACGAGTTAGGTGAATCATTAGGGTTACCATTGTTTTGTTTAAAACACATAACCAGAATTTGTAAATATTCCAACAATAAATTGAAAGTTAATTCAATATATTTTACCATTTGTTTATGTTAAACAACAAAATATAATTAGAAATTAAATTTCTAAAACAAAATTTGTAACAATGTTGTTACCTCCAAACGATTTCTGTTATCAACAGTAAATCAAATAAATTTTGTTGAACAACATGATTAAAATCCTGAAACAGAATTATAGGCCCTATTTTTGTTCACAAACATATCATAATTTCGTTCGGTACCTTATTTATCGCAACTAAATTTAGTCAAAACTAAAATCCAACAACTGAGTAATTTCTGTTAAACAACGGGAATTTAGTAAAACTAAAACCCGAAACAGAAATGTACAATCAATATTATTTTGTTGAATTCGTTAAATGTCAGGATTTAAAACTAAAATATGAAACAAAACCAACTTCTGTTGGATAACGAGATTAAAACCCAAAACAGAACCAATTTCTGTTAAACGACGAGAACTTAATAAATTAATTCTGGAAACATAACTAACTTATGTTGAGCTGTGGGAATTTAATAAAACCCGAATTAGTAGTATAATCTCAATGTATAAATACACATACCTTTTCGATTTCTTAATCGAAATTCACCATTGGTAAAAAAAAATTTACGAGCCTTATCACATTATAATCAAACTGTGTCCAACATGCCTTAAGCTTGCTTGAAACATGAGGTTTTGAATTCAACATGCCTTGAATTCTTGACCAAAGGTTGCACTTGCACCGAAGATTTATAAAAAACCAACATCAATAAAAGTTGGTGGACCTCAAACCTTCTAATCATCGTTGACAATCAAACTTGAACCAATAATTTGTGGGTTAAGGTGCAGTGTGTGCATGCCAAACATAGAAGGCTAGCACTTACACTAAACATTAGAAATGTTTCATAATTATAATTACGCCTCTTTCGTTATTCTTCACTCAATTTGGCAATTTCCAATGACATGTTGATAATCAAATTGCCACAACCAAATCACGTTTTTTAAGGTCCAAGCAAAAAACAAGACGTCCTGCATATTATTATACTACACAGACTAAACATTTCCGAAGAAAATATAATATTCTACGTACCTTGATGCTTGTTCCAGTGATTTGGCTTGTAGACTAAAGAAAACAATTCGAATGAATTAAGTCTTTAACCAATTTGGAATGAATTGCCAATACTCAAAATTCCAAAGCAACAAACAATTTGGAACGACATTCTTGTCTTAGACACCAAGTTTATCATTTCATGGTAAGCATCACGTGAATGTTTGTAAATAGGACTAAATCACATAGAAGTATCCTCTACTGAAATTGTGTTTCCAAACAAATTCAGATGAATTGTAAATTTCCTTTGTTTTTAAAAAGACTCATAATGCTCCAAAAGGTACAACCATCATTAGCAATGTTAAAGCATGGTGAATACAAATTTCCACGATCGACATATCCAATCATCAAAAGTAGGGAAAATTAAAAAACAATCACATCACCAAGAGCAAAGAAACAAACAACACATTAGTTTTGCAAAGAAGGCCTCGCTGTTTGCATTCAAACCTGTAAATAGCCACCAATACTAGTTTTGTGCCTGTTTGATACTTCGTTCAAAGAATCTCATTTCGGATAAAAAAATAAAAGGAATCTGTCTTAAGATTGTTAGACAAAATTGTTAATCCGAGATAATAATATTAATAATAATAATAATAATAATAATAATTATAATAATAATAATTATTATTATTATATAATCAAACGAAACAAAATAATTATAAAGAATTAAAATAGAAGAATGAAACTTGTTACTCATGTGTAGACACAGAATCAGATGAGTAGAGTAAGATAAACCGAATAATGTTTTTTGTTGAGGCCTGTATGAATAGTTTCCTTAAGACAAATTCGTCCTCTCCTAGGTGCTTTGAGTAACGTTGGACGTCGGTCTCCCGGGATACAACAACAAATGATCACAACAGTAAGTATAACCGTAGTGATCAGTCAAACACAATCTTACATTTCTCTATCACCTGAAAGAACGAATTTGAAAGGAATTTCTAAGATTTTTCCTATTCCAATGTTTGAGAATTGTTTCTAAGATTGAGCCTTAACTAACCTATTTATAGAGGAGAGCAAATTAATCAAAAGGTTATAACCTTTTGATAAAGAGATTTATTGAAAAACTAATAGGTATAATTGAATGAATGCAATTTTATACCAAATAATAAGTCTGTTCACCAAGTAACATAACTTATTATTGAAACACATCAATTTTATTCAATTATTTATTAATTTTTCCAACAGAAAAAAGAGAGGATGAATGTGCAAAATAGTAACAAATAACTTAAAGACAAAATGAACATTTTACTATAATAGATGCGTATCAATGTTTCTAAGATGATATGTTGCAGCATCTTCATTGTCCGACTCATACTCTATGTTTTCCCTTTGATTCCTAGTATCCAGTCTTTATGTCCAACTCCACCCCCTTTTTTCTCAATCTTTAGCATGTTTCCCATTTAGTTCACTTGAATGAATTATGACCAACCACACAATTCGGGGATAAAAGGAAGAACCATCCACTCTTAAGTACTAAAGACTTTTAGTTGATTCAAAATGTGCAAAAGATGTCCAAACATAGGCAACACAATGCTTAATATCTCACTACAAAATCCAAATAAGAATATCAAAAATAAAGAATCACATTATCATGACAACTAAAAGAAACATCTAAGGCATTCAGAGCTTACCTAAGGCAGAGAAGACTGAAGGATCACATGTATAGCCACTATCATTATAAAAACCAGCTTGATTTTCAGCAGAGTTTTGGTAGGAGCCTAGCGGCTCAACCTCTTGTAAGGGATGTGCAACACTCTGAACGTTATCTTTCGGCACAGGAACATCTCTGTGTAGGTTGCTATTAGTCACCAGTGTGTTTCTTTTATCATTCATGACAGATGTCTCTGAATCATATCGAGAAGTAACAGCGTCATGAGTATAAGATGCATAATTCCCTACCGAGTTAACAACTTCATTGCTTAACTTTGATCCTGCAGTGCCTGATGGCTGAGGGGAATAATCCTGGTCTGAGCCTCTCAACTTAACCTCTTCAGTGAGATTAGAATACCAAAGCTGACAGAATGTCAAGCCCATAACCAAATATGACATTGGATGGCCACTAGAGTAACGTTCTTTCATTAAGCTGAGGAAGGAAATTTAATGAAAGTCACACAAACATTGAATTTAGTCATGTATTAAATTCCAAAGACAATACACCTTGATCTTCATATAACTATTATTACAAAACTTGAACACAAATATATCAACAAAGCCGACATGGAAAACTAGGAGATAATTCTTTTGCAATAGCCATTCATTATTATGTTTAAACGGATGCATAAGGCCATGTATCAGAGACGAAAATACTATCATATTATCATGGAATCAGTTCTCTAAACTAAATCTAATATATCACAGATACCGCCATGCTAGTTAAGAAAAAAAATCACTTTGCTGCTAGATCTATCTGATTGTGCAAAATTATTCTTCCTTGCAGTGTTCTTGTTATACGTGAGGCGAGAAAGGCATTAACTCCATTTGACAAGTCAAACTCTTGCAGGATAGGTCATGCAAGAAACATGTGTAAGGGAGATGGCCTCCTATTTCAGTGTGAATCAGTTGTGAATCGCCCAGTGGTGTAATCAGTAACCAAGGACCATAACACTTCTATAAGCTAGCCAAACAAACCTTATTTTTTCTTGCCTAAAACAAATACTTAATATACGAAAACCCTAATAACCCCTACAATTGCATGTGTGGTAAAAAAACCATCCTACCCCATGCAAAGAAATTGAACCTTATTGGCTAGCAAACTCCCCTCAACTACAAAAAATGATTTGTTTAATGGCAATCTTACAACACTGCAAGCCAACTCTTTCTTGATAGAATGCAGGAGGGAGTTCATTTGGAAACAAAGTAGTTACTGGATTCCTATTCTCGCTTGATTTGTAACAATACAAGTGGTGTGTAATGATTGACATTTGACAAGTAAATAATAATAAGCAAAGAAATATATTGCTTCTACATGCATCAACCCTAGATCACCATGGTATACAAAAATACCTTAAAGCGGTTTGATGAGCCCAATCAAGATTCCCATGTAGAAGGCAGAAAAAAATGAACTTCAAATGAAGTGCGATTTACTCCTGTTCACCAGAAAATAACTATGTTAATAGACAGATAGCATTCGAACTAACTATATGTGAATATGCTGAACTATACCTCTACTTTGACACTCTTCGTCCTAATCCTGCTCATCCAAATCTCATAGATGTCCCTGATCCTTCTTAGATCAACATGATCCCCATCTATGTGCTTAAGAAGCCGAATTGAAACCTAAAAATATTCATTACACACATCAACAATTTTTATATTCCACTAGATATCCAAAAAGCGAATTGTACAAACAATGTACAAATAACATTCTATATGTAAATTGGAATAAGTTGTATTGGTAGCACTTTTTTAGTATTTTCTAATAAAAATGGCAATGACAACGATAAGATAATAATAATAATAATAATAATAATATAAATGCATCTACATTCTGTAGCTATTAACTGAAGTTAAAGATCCTTCCTGAACCATATATTCTCTCATTATGTAGTGCTTCAGGTTCTCTTGTAAGTACATATTGTTAACATAAGAAGCCATTAATAAATATTAAGATTTAAGAGCAAGTATCAAACACTAAGACATTGAAACTTCTACTGAAACTAGGGGCATATGCAAATACTTGAGCTACAAAACATCTCTAACACATTATCATGCAATTTTTTTCATTAAAAAAATATTAACATTAAAACTCTTATATTACCTGCTTATTCAATTTCAATGCATTTTAGCTATAATTCTACAAAGAGAATGCAGTAAAAGAAGTAATCAAACAAAAAATATAAAAAAATTCTTTAAAAAAAACCAAGATCAAACTTTAACATAACAACAACTAAATATACACATTGAAAACTCCGATTAGGCAAAGTAGAAGTCAGCCATACCGACTTCCGAGTACTTGAGGCGATTCAAATTAGCAGAACAATCATTGGAAGTACCCTTAAGCAACAAGCTTAATACTCCACTTGCCTCAGCCCAATTATGTTTCTTTACAAGTTTTTCCAAGAGGTAGCACATCTTTTTCCGATTTTCCCATCGAATGTGGACTCTTCCCAGTGTTAAAAGAAAAGAAGACTTTACTAATGATAACTTTAACCTTTGCGTTGCTTTATTCTAACAATGGTTAAAAGAAGCAACCCAAAGATTTGTAAAGCTAATCAATACATATTTAAACATAAATATGCGGAATGATCCTCCAAACATAAAAATAAATTAAAAGGATAAATATAACTGTAACACTAGAAAATATAATGGATTTTGGTTATTGATTATTTCCTTAGTTGCGAGTTTCAATGGGCTGGATCAAACACTTGCATGAATTCTTTAGTGGCACTCATTAGACTCGGAAAGATCATCAAAAGGTTCCTCAACAATCATGGCGAAGAGAAACCTATCAGCAGTGGAATGGCGCGATCGAGTCTTGAAGTGGCAGACTGTGTTTGACAATAATGTGAGTAAAAGGATTCATCCTGAAACCCTCAAGGATTGTTTTCAGGCCTATGGAGTGGTGACTGATGTTTTCATCGCTTATAGAAGTGTAAGTAGACAATCAGTTGGTTCTACCTTTTCTTTTGTTAGATTCAGAAGCAAATCCGAGGCAAACTATGCGGTCAGAAGGGCAGATGGCAGGATCATGGATGGGTTTAAGATCAGAGTTTTTCATGATAACAAGGGAGCAGTTAAGCTTAAGAAGGTTGCAGAAGGTAGAGCAGTAAAAAAAGTGTGGAATCCATTGTTAAGGGACTCCAGGTCGTTTAAGGACGTTCTTGAAGGTAGGGGAGTTGATAACGATGTTAATATCCAATAATATGCGTCACATAGAATGGATAATGTGATTCATGTTAGATCGGTCTCGGAAAGAATTGGAACCCATGATCAGTTTGTTGCGAGTAGTTTATTTGAAGATTTTATTTCAAGATGGGAGCTTGTTGAAGTTCCAATTTCAGGGAGCACTTTCACTTGGTTTCGGAGCCGACCGAACGTGGCTGCAAGCAGACTAGATAGGATTCTAATTTCATCAGAGATAGACTGTTATTTTCCGGGTCTGATGCAGTTCACTCTTCCAAGAAGCTTATCGGATCATAACCCGGTTTTGCTAAAAGAAAGGAAGACAAGTAATTTTTAGGCCTTTCAAATGGTTTAATCACTGGGCTGATGATCCAATTTTGTATGAGAGTATCAAGGGCGTGTGGGAGTCAAACAGAGGGAAAAGCTTTTTTCAGTTGTTGTCGTTAACCAAGGTTGTGACGAAAGAAAGGGAAAGAAAAATTCGAGAAAGTAATACATATTCTATGGAAAAAATTGGAAAATTAATTGAGGTATTAGAAAAAACGTGTATTTCGTCGCCCAGGTCCATCTCTGCTCTGTCCGATCTTGTGGCAATGAAGACTTGTTTGTGGGCAATTTTGAGAAAGGAAGAACGTGAGTGGCTTAAAAATATAGACTCAAGTGGTTTAAAGAAGGAGACAGAAACACTAAGTTATTCTATTTATCGGCTTCGGCCAGAGCAAAAGTTAACCAGATTTCGAAGTTGAAGGTCAATAATCAGATGATTAGACAGCAAGCAAGGATTCAACAAGCCTTTGTCAACCACTTTCGAGATAGCTTCAATGACGTGCAGAAAATTCCAGTTAAGCATTTGGATCTTCCGTTCAAGAGATTATGTGCTTTATCTAGAAGGGTCATTGAGCATCCATTTTCCGAAAAAGAGGTATGGTTTGTAATTAATTCCTCCGATGGCTCTAGAGCACCGGGTCCGGACGGTTTTAGTATGGAATTTTTCAAAACATTTTGGGAAGTTATCAAGGCTAATGTTATGCAGTTCATGGCTGATTTTTATTGGGGCAGAGTCTTGGACACTTCTTTCAATAAATCTTTTATCGCTCTTATTCCGAAGAAAAGTGAGGCGGTTGGCACGGATGATTTCAGACCGATTTCTTTGGTGGGGAGTTTGTATAAAATAGTGTCTCGAGTTTTGGCTAAGAGAATGGCTAGTTGCATCAAAGAAGTGGTGGGGGAGAATCAGTTTGCTTTTATCTCAAGTAAGCAAATTGCGGACTGCATATTGATTGCTAATGAAGTTATTAGTGATCTTTCCAAAGGCAAGAAAGAAGCTGTGTTATTTAAGGTTGATTTCTGTAAAGCATATGACACAGTTGATTGATAATTTCTGAATCTAATTCTAAAGAAAATGGGATTTGGGAAAAGATATAGAAATGGGTCCATTTTTGCATCTCGACTCCGTCCATTGTTGTCTTAGTAAATGGATGTCCCTCCAACAGTTTTTCTATTAAGAGGGGCCTTAGGCAGGGCTGCCCTTTATCGCCGATGCTTTTTAACGTTGTTGGGGAGGCTCTTAGTAGTTTGTTGAAGAACGCGAGTATCACTGGTATGTGTGGTGGTGTTGGAGTTGGGTCTAGAAGTGTAGAATTATCTCATATTCAATTTGCAGATGACCTCATGCTATTTTCAGTAGCAGAGGAAAGGAGCTTAAAAAATTTCAATCGTGTTTTTAAAATTTTTGAATTGGTGGCGGGTCTGAAATTGAATATTAAGAAGTCCAAGATGTTTGGTATAAATGTTGATGACGCCAGAATTAAATGTTGGGCAGACGCAATTCATTGTAGTTGGGATATTCTTTCTACGACTTATTTGGGGCTTCCTTTAGGTCATAAAATTAATTCTAAGGTTATCTGGCATCCAGTGATGGATAAAATTAAGGCTCGTTTACAGAGCTGGAAAGGTAAATTTTTATCATTTGCGGGCAGAATTACGCTTATCCGATCTGTGCTATCTAATTTACCTGTTTATTTCATGTCACGGTTTCCTATTCCCAAGTCTGTAGCAGAATTTATAAATAAATGCTTAGCTTCTTTTGTTTGGAAGGGTTATTCAGAAAGGGAATCCATTGGATTAAGTGGGATAATGTTTGTGGGCCTAAATCGCATGAGGGTTTGGGTATTTACGATATCAAAACTAGAAATTGTTCTCTGCTTAATAAATGGATTTGGAGATTTGGCGAGGAGGATGATAGTCTTTGGAAAATAATTATTTGTGCTAAGTATAAATACCCTTAGGAATCTATTATCCCTAAAGTGGTTCATAAGCGTAGTTCATCTTGCTTATGGCGTAATATAGTTAATTCAGCCATTCCTGTTGAGGGAGATTTGTATGCTGATCTGATTTGCACTATGAGTGATGAGGCTAAAATTGATTTTTGGAATGAGCATTGGTCTGAAGTGAATTCTCTTAAAGATTCTTTCCCTAGAATTTTTGGTTTGGCTATAAAAAAATTAGGGAAGATTCAGGAGTTTGGGTGTTGGGAAAATGGTGTTTGGGAATGGAAGATTGAGTTGCGAAGAAATCTGTTAGAATGGGAAAAAGACCTTTGGGCGGATTTTTTGCTGGTTTTGAACAGAGCTGTAAGTTTAGCTCCGACTTTTGACAGGTTGAAATGGGTAGGATCTGCTGATGGTAGGTTTTATCCTAAAACTTTCTGTTCTAAAGTGGCTTCTGTAGGTAAATCGGAAGATCCGATTTGGAGAACGGTTTGGTGTAAAGTCGTTCCTCCAAAAGTCTTTGGTTTTGTGTGGAAAGTTTTGCATCAGAGGCTGCCGATTATTACAGAGTTGGAAAAACGAGGTGTTTCCTGTGCTACTAATCCTCTTTGTGCTTTCTGCAATCGATCTCCAGAATCTATTAATCATGTTCTCTGTCATTGTGAGTATGTATGGCAGGTTTGGCAACGATGGTGTTCTGTTTGGCATGTTAATATTGTTTTCCCATTGTGTGTGAAAGATTTGCTGCAGGTTTGGGTTTCCCAGAGTATTAAAAAGAAATTTCGTTCTTTATGGATACTTGGTTTTTTTAGTTTAATCTGGAAAATTTGGTTGTGTCGAAACGAAATCAAGTTTAAGGGGTATTCATACTCGGTTGATCAAATATTTTTCTTATCCATGGTTCAAATTGGTATGTGGGCTAATGCGCTCTGGCCGTCGTTGATTCCGATTGTTCAAGGCTTTGTCCATTGTCCCGAATCTCTTGTGATTAGATTATGCTGATATGCTTCCTATTTTTCTGCTATTATTATATCGGGTTGACCATGTGTTATTGTTCTCTCTAGTTCTCTGTGAACTGCGGACGCTCGTTTAGCAGACATGTTTCTGCCACTACTCATTTATTTATTGAATCTGGTTTCCAGCAGTCTTGGATGGTGGTCTTGAAGCTGTTGAGTATTTTTGTCGCTCGTGGTTTTCTTTTTCAGTAGTCCTGGCTGTTCCTTAATTGCTCGGGATCCTTGTTGTGCAACTATGGTTTTGTGACGGTGATCTTTGCATTTCCTCAGTAAGGCTTGTGTTTTTATGGGTTTTAGTCCTGAGGCTTTTGCTTGTTTTGGCTCTGTTTGAATGTGGGTTAGCTTATTTGTATTTCATTCATGGCGTAGGCTGTATCTTGTATAGCCTGTTATGGGCTGTTCTAATGGTCTGTTTTGGTCTCTCGTTGTGTTGTAACAGAGATTATGGCTGTTTTTTTCCACTCCAAGGTTAACTATTTTTCCTCCACATAGATTTAGGGAGGTTTTTTAATGAGGTCATTGGGTGTTGTACTTTTGTGTTATTCTCTAATACAAAATACCCCTTTTTCAAAAAAAAAAAAAAAAAACTGTAACACTATGCTTGGATCAATATTAACGTCGAAGAATACAAATCACACAGAAGAAGAGGAGCTGGCGGTGGATTTGGAGGTTGAAACGGTGGATACAACTGCGGCGGTGGAGGCGATGGTTATGGAAACTGTGGAGGATATAGGTGCGGTGGATACGGAGGCGCACGCTATGAAAGAGGGTATGGGGACGGTGGCTCTCGTTACTCAAGGGGCAACGGTGCTTCTAATGGCAATAGGAGGAGACCTTAAGTTTCAAGGTTTTAAATGAGCTTGGGCCTAATAGTATTTTGCACAAACTTTAAGGTTATCCAAATAAATATTTTGAAAGATACTCTTATGGGTTGAAAGTTCCATTTAAAAGATCTTAAATTATGTTTTGATCCTTCTATAAATTAATTAATATACAATTTAAAATGAGTAAAATTTTCATCAATTTTTGTTAAGTATTAATTTGAAATAAAATATATAAAATTACAAAGAATCATAAATAACTAAAAGATAAACTACGCATTTAGTTATTAAATTATATAAAAAAATAAATTACTTTTAAAAGAGATCACAATGATGATCGAAGTGGTCTTAAAATAAAAAAATTCTAATAAATAAATCATTTTTAAATTTTTATCGAGCAATTAAAAAAAGCATCGTATAATATAAAATCGAGATACAACTTATGACTGACAAATCGATACTTTATCTTAGATAATATGAAAAAAAATAGAAAATAAAAGAGCAAAAAGATCAGTACAGTGTGATGAATACAAGCATGTGAAATTAACAAAAACATAAATAGAATATATAGTAAATTACAAAAATCATATACAACACAAAGCACATCAACATGCAGAAATCAGAAATAGATGTCAACAGAAATCAGTACAGTGTGATGAATATATTGTATGCATTAAATGCTAAAAATCTATGCTATGTCAACACGACAAATGAATGATAGTTCTTCAGAACCCATATACACTAATGAATGACGAAGCAATGCTCTGGTAATAAGAGTGTGTTTGACCGACGGTGGTTAAATAGAATTTAAATCTGGTTTACCTAATGCCGTAAATGAAAGTTTTAGGCTCTAGGAGCCATTTGATATTCGATTAAGGATTAAAGAACAACAGAGAAGTTCTTACCTGTAAAAAACAAAGGCACACCAAAAGAAGCCGCGAAGCGGCTTCGCGGCTAAGAAGAGCTAAAGAGTCAGGCAGAGGCGGCACTAGGGGTTTTACGCCCTCCCCAGTCCCCACGCTACGATGAAGAAAGCCTCTTCTTTTTTTTAATTTGTTTTCCCCATGTGCTGTTTTTTCACCCATAATAATATGGGTAAACTATACCAGTGACTAATTAATTATAGTAGTTTTTATTTTGATCACTATTTTTGAAATTTTGTGAAATACAGCTATCGGATAGAGCAAAATCGAAACTGATAATTTGAGAAAATAAAAATGAAGATAAAGAAGACACAAATTTTATGTTGAAAAGGTAAAAACCACGGGAAAAGATAGAAGAATTTCACTATGAGAAAATAAGAATTACAAATTCTATCGATATAACAAGGAGAAAACAATAACAATTCTCTCTTGATAAAAAGAAGAAAACAACTCTAAAGAAAACTCTCTAAATTCTCTAGTATTGAGAGGAAGCTATAATGATTTAGGATGATTTTGAAGCTAAATGGGTTAGAGTATTTATAGTTGAAGCTTAAGGACTAATCTTGTAAATACTCTAAAGTACAAAGACTAAATTTTGTAATTTCCCCTTACCAAATTTTCAACAAAATCATGTTGTGAATATTGAATTTGACCATGCACCATTCGGTGCATTAATGCATCGAAAATCTAACTTTTAACAATCTCTCACTTGAAGATTTGATTGGAACAATCATATCTTCACACCATTCTTTCTACTTTGTACCACCATTTTGCTTATGTTTCTGACAGGCCACAAGAGGATCGACACCAAGTAAATTTATCAGCATTGATTGCCTTCGCCATGAAATCTGCTATGTTGTCTTTGGTAAGGATTTTCTGCATATCTACCGTCCATTCTTCCACATTTTCACGAATAAAATGGTACTGAACTCGTATGTGTTTTGTCCTTGAATGAAATACTGGATTCCTTGCTAGATGCAAGGCACTTTGACTATCACAAAATAGAGAGACATACTCTTGATTGTGCCCAAGCTCCTCCAATAGCATCTTCAACAAAATTGCTTCTTTACTGGCTTGTGTAGTTGCTACATATTCTGCCTCTGTTGTGGATGTAGCCACAACTGACTGCAATTTTGAAACCCATCTTATAGCTCTACCAGCAACTTTGAACACATATCCTGTAGTAGATTTGTTTTATCCAAATCCCCTGCATAGTTAGAATCGACATACCCATTGATAAGTAAGTTTGATACTCCGTAACATAATATAACATTTGAGGTCTATTTGATGTATCTCAAAATCCTCTTTACTGTATTCCAATGCTCTTTGCCTTGATTCACCATGTACCGATTAACCACTCTCACTGCTTGTGCAATGTCTGGTCTTGTGCATATCATAGAGAACATTAAACTTCCCAATGCTGATGTATACGGTACTCGAGACATCTCCATCCTCTCTTCTTCACTGCTAGGACTTATAGTGGAGGATAATTTGAAGTTAATAGGAAGAGGGGTAGAAATTGACTTACAATCTTGCATGTTGAATCGTGACAAGATCTTCTTCAAGTAATTCTTTTGTGAAAGTCAAATCTTCCTATTACTTCTGTCTCGGTGAATTTGCATCCCTAGAATATTTATTTGCTGATCCCAAGTCCTTTATTTCAAATTCCCTAGCTAGTTGTGCCTTCAATTATTCAATATAATTTTTTGGGTCCTGCAACCAACATGTCATCCACATACAACAACAATATAACAAAATCGTTATCACCAAGCCTCTTGAAATAAGAACAAGGGTCTTCTTTATGTTTGTTGTATCCAAGACATATAATGAAGGAATCAAATCTCTTATACCAACATCTTGGAACCTTCTTTAGACCGTACAGAGATTTGTTCAACCTGCAAACCAAGTTCTTCTTTTCTTTTTCTTCAAAACCTTCAGGCTGGAGCATGTAAATTTCTTCTTCAAGATTTCCATGCAGAAAAGCTATTTTAACATCTAGTTGCTCTACATGTAAGTTCAATGTAGCACACATTTCCAAGACTACTCGAATTGTTGTTAGTCAAACCATAAAAGAAAAGATTTCATTGAAATCAATACATTCTTTTTGAGTCCGTTGACCACCAGTCTTGCACGATACCTCTCAACTTGATCGTTACCATTTTGCTTGATTTTGAAGACCCATTTTTTACCAATTAGCTTCCTTCCTTGTGGTAGTGACACAAGGTCACATGTATTATTTTTATGAAGGGCTTCAATTTCTTCTTGCATCGTCATCATCCATAGTGAAGCATCTGAGCTGTTTATTACCTCCTGGTATGTTGATGGCTCATCTTCCTCTGTTAAAAGACAATATACAATATTTCCTTCTATAGCATAATCTGATTTCCAATTGAGATGTCTTCTCACACGATCTGATTGACTAGTTGTTTCAGCTTCAGAACTCTCTGGTTATTGTTCATCATGTGCTGGTTCTACTTCAGAAGAATCTCCTTGTTCAAACTCATTTTCCACATGTATCTGTGTAGTCTCTGACTTTTCAGTGATACTATCTTCTTCTTTTCTTTGTAGTTTATCTTCTACAAAGATAACATCCCTATTGATGATCACTTTATGTGCAGTGGGATCCCACAAGCGATACCCCTTTACACCATCAGCATACCCCAAGAATTTGCATTTCCTGGATTTTGGATCCAACTTTGAAATTTCTTGGGAGTTGTACATCACATACAAAATACTTCCAAATACATGGAGTTTGAATAATTATTTGGTTTACCAGTCCACATCTTCATTGGTGTCTTCAACTCTATTGCAATTTATGGAGCTCGATTTACCAAATAATAGGCAGTATTGACAGCTTCTGCCCAAAATGATTTTTCTAGGCCTGCAGCCCTCAACATTGCTCTTGTTCTTTTTAACAAGGTTCTGTTCATCTGCTCTGCCTCTCCATTTTGTTGAGGAGTGTTCGCCATTGTGAACTGTCTTTTGATGCCTTTTTTCCTGCAAAAGTCATCAAATTCTTCACTTGTGTATTCTCCTCCATTATATGTTCTGAAACACTTGATCTTATTTCCAGAATCAAGTTCCACCCGCGATTTGAAGTTTTTGAAAGTTGAAAACACATCTGACTTTTCTTAATAGGGTACACCCAATATCTCCTGGAGTAGTAATCAATAAATGAGACAAAGTATTTTGCTCCACCTAGGGATGTAACTGGTGCTTGCCATACATCAGAATGAACCAATTCTAGAACATTTTTGCCTCTAGAATTTGACGTGTTGAATTTCAACCGGTGCTTCTTACTTGTTATGCAATGCTCACACAAAGTAAGTGATACATTTGTTAAGCTTGGAAGTATCTTTTGCTCTACAAGGACTTTCATTCCTTGTTCTGACATGTGTCCAAGTTTTTGATGCCATAGCATTGCAGAATCTGAACTACATGAGGCACAGAGGCTTCTGCTTCTAGCAAAGTCTTTCCCTTCAGCATGTACAAGTTTGCTGTTATCTTTTCACCTTTCATCACCACAAGCGCTCCACAGAACACCTTAATAATTTCTTTCCGTGTTTCAATCTTGCTTGCATTATTATCCAACAACCTGTAGAATAATAAATTTTTCTTCAGGCCTTTCACGTGCCACACATCTCGAACAAATTTAATTGTTTCATCATACATCTTCAATTTGATGGTTCCCACGCCAACGATCTCTAAGGCATGATCATTGCAACTATACATAGATCCTCCTGAGACAGGTTCATAATGATGAAACCATTGTCTTCTTGAGGTCAGGTGATATGTTGCTCCTGAATCAATAAGCCATATATCTGCAAATCCCTATCTACATTCCACAGTGGTTGACGATTCACAACATAGAGCATCTCCATCATCTGAAGTGTTTGCGGTATTGCCTTGTGGATTGGAGTTTTTACCTAAACTCCAACAATCCTTCTTCAAGTGACCATTCTTTCTATAGTTATAGCACTTTAAATTCTTTTTTCTTCTCGACTTTATCTATCATGTTTGTGACTGCTGCTTTAGCCACGTTCTATTGATCTCCCTCTAATCATTGTCAACGCTTCTACTTGTTACAGATTTACTTGTCTGTGTTCCTTGTTCT